GTGGTATGCGGTAGGATTCATCTTCTGGAACATTCCGGGGGGGAGCAGTGACCCCAGCGCTCCTATGCTCTGGACGGGCTCGGTCAGGTGGTACCCCAGGTGGTGGTAGAAGTCCTGCTTGTCATGGGTGGTCAGGTAGAGGTTCCGGAAGCCCCGCCCTCTGGCATAGCGCTCCGTGGCCTCCATCAGCCTCCGGCCGTAGCCCATTCCCCGGAGGTCGGCGCTGACCACCACCGACTCCACAAAGAGGCCGTCTGGGACGCCTATGACCCTGCAGAGGCGGGCGTGACCCAGGACGGGCCCCCCCTCCCGGGCCCCGATGAGCACTAGGCACACGGGGAAGTCCTCCGAGGAACGTTCCAGCGAGTGGAGCCGAGCGCCCAGACTTCTCCGCCACGTCTGGTTCAGAAGCTCCGCGCAGGACGCTGTGAGGTCAGGCCGATGATGCAGAGGGATGAGGATGACACTCTCCGGAGAGGACGACCTGCGGGAGATCGGAAAACATGAGGCGGGGACTGACCACAGCGGGTGGCCATCTTGGAATGTCGATCAATAATCAATATTTCCTGTACAATGTACAGCTACTGCCCAACTCTAACTCTGGCCCCCAGACTGGACTGAATGGATCAGCCCCTCCATCACATTCACTGCTTTGTCCGATCCAATCACATTCACCCACACTGCCCAGTACCCCTCCCCCCTCTGATTCTCCAACATGTGATCCGAGTGTCAGGAACATTCGCTGCGTCTATAACACGGCCAATGTTCCATCATCAGGGCTCCTGTCCTCCATCCGGGGCCATAGTGACAACACACAGAAGGATGGGGGCCCCTGTGTCTGGGGCCACACTGTGAGGTCATAGGATGGTCAGGGGCCCTCCTGTCACCCGATTCGGGACAGAAACTCACCCCATTCCAGGCTTCTTCCCCCATGTGCTCCAGTCCAGAATGAGACTCTCAGCTGCGACCAATCACAGGCGACCAGCGCGGGGCATGCTGGGAGTTGTAAGCTGCGCCCGCTCGCTGCGCGTGTGTGATGTACATGCGATACCAGCAGCGGCCAGCAGAGGGAGGGGAGAGCCGAGAGAGTGCGATACCAGCAGCGGCCAGCAGAGGGAGGAGAGAGTGCGATACCAGCAGCGGCCAGCAGAGGGAGGGGAGAGCCGAGAGTTCTGAGCTCTGTTCAAATGATGGGCTCAGCTCACAAACTCATAGCACGAGGATAAGGATCGGTATTGCAGACACGTGACTGTCAACTTTAAATTTAATTGGATCAAAATGAATAAATAATAAATAAGTGTAACGTTTTTGAAAAGAAGTTTCCTTATTATAACCTATGATGTGAACTGAGCCCACAGTATACAAAGTATCAGCTCAGAGAGGGGGAGGGGAGTAGAAATCTCCTATCCTTCCCTATGACCCAGATCCTGGACTCCGAAAATCCATTTAAAGTGACCCTGTCTCTATATTTAGGGTGTATCCGGTCTGTAAATGGCGGCTCTGGATGGACGGTTGGATAAATGGCTCTGATGGTCGGTTGGTCTCTGGATTGGCTCCGCCTATAATGAGTCCTCGGGGGATGGAATGAAGACAGGTGAACAGATCGAGGAAAGTAATTCTTTATTTCATTGCATTTTCGGAGGACAATTCTGGACACAATTCGGGTTTTTTGGTGTTAAACAGAAAACATTAATAAATTAACTTTGTAATTGAACT